TTACATTTACATCAAATCAAATTAGTTTATAATTATGACAGGTATTAAACTTTTAAAATTATAGATTTACATTTAAGGTAAATTAAATGTGACAGTAGTAATATTAATAAATGATTGTTATTAACATATGAATTTATTAAAATAATTAAATATCAATTGACAAAAATTCTATAATAATAATAATAATATTTATAATTAAATTCTAATCTTATTTTCTTTAATATAAGACTTCATTTTAATTTTATAGATATATTATTTAGTTTATTTACTAAATGTAAACCATAAGTGTACCACAATATTATGTTAATATAAAAACACTCACCAGAATTTGTATGCAATTGAATGGACTTCACAAATAAGATATCATTCATGAGTTTGAAGTGAAGAAATGGATTCATGTTTAGTTTTTTGTTATAAATAAATAGTATTTCAATCGGTTTATAATTCATACAATTATTTAACACGCAAATTATTAGTCTATTATTTTATTATTTTTATGATAACATTTTGCTTTCTAGGAATTTGGCTTTAATTAGAGTCAAACATATGTTACCAAAGATTTTTGATTAATTAATTAAAATCTTTGTTAAATAAAATAAAATGTCGATTCTTTTGGTTTTGACTTATAATCAAAATACTTATTAAGACTTGTATTTTGTAGCACTTTTTACAAAATATTATTTTATTATATAAGATATAGTAGAAAAGTCTTATCGTAAATAATATGAAAATTATTTTATATCTAGCGAATGATTTGATAAATTGTTTAATTAAAGTTAAAAATAAGTATACATTTTGTTATACTTTCAGGTCATTATTCAACAATATTGAATGATATAAAAATGTTTATAAATATATAGCATATAAATAATTTCACATATATTTCACAACCAATGTTAGGTATTCTTTGACAAAATATTGGATTCAATGATACTTTTTATTGACAACAGGTGTATAAATAAGAGAGTTTATGTAAAAGTTATGTCATAAATATAATGTTATAGAGTTATACCACGTGAATAATATATGAGTTTCTGTTTAACAATTTATCAAATCATTCGCTAGATATAAAATAATTTTCATATTATTTACGATAAGACTTTTCTACTATATCTTATATAATAAAAACTACAGAAAGTCTTATGAATTTTCTATTACAAAATCTATTAGGCGAGAGAGAGAGAGAGAGAGAGAGAGAGACTTTTAATGCCGTATAATTGTAATTGTTAAATAGCCAACTATTACGAACATTTATTTACTGTATTTTTTGTAATTATGAAACTCATATTTTTGTTAAGATTTATCATATTGTATAAATCCTAAGATAGTAAATCAATATAAGAATTGGCTTTTACTGTAATAATTAATTTTAAAAATTGTAGTGTCTTTTGAAAACATTGTGTAAATATAATGTTAAATGTTCATGAATTTATTATATATTTATCTAAAGTATATTATTTAAATTGTCAAATATAGTCAATATAAGTAAATATCTGAAAGACTTTGAAATATGAATCCCGGAAAAGAAGATAACGTTTCCACTTTTCTTATCATTCATTTATGGACTCACTTCTCATATCATAAGAGGTATTATATAATATTCAATTCACTAAACATATGCCAACACATAATAATTAATTTTTCATTTTAAATTTAAATAAATTTAAAAATTATAACACAATTTTTATGTTACTATATTATATTTATACACAATTTAATATGACATAAATAATCAAGATACTGTATATTATTATTTGTAAATAATTTGATATATTAAATTAAATCATCCTTAAATTTGTTAAACATTTAGAGTTTATATAATTCTTAAGTGTATCTAGTACAATACAATAAACAAATAATTACAAAACCAATACATAAAATAATTTTATTTAACACAATTAAACTCGTTATTTATAAATACTAAATAAACAAGTGCATTAGATTTAATTTGAGTGTCATATGTGATTGAAAATATGTTTTGTGTAAAAAATTGAAAAAATGACTAAAATTAATAACAATCATTTGTCATTTTAATATGAAATTAGTGTTAATTTAATTATGTGTATTATAAGTACCAATATGCACCTACATAAACATATTCGTATTGAATGTTTACTTAAAATTATAAGATCTACAATTGAAAAGTAATGGTTTTAAAAAGTTGTTGTAATTATAGTTTTATTAATACTGTAAAAACAGATAAATTATTTTCTGGTTTTTCAAATATACATCATGATTCATGAACCAAAGTCAACCATTAAGTATAAATTAATTTTTCTAATCATATTTAATTTTATAAAACTTTTTTAACAAACAGCTAATTTAGCATTATTTAAAGTATATGTACACTATTGCGTTATTAGTTATCAATAACATATTAGTTCATCTTTAAATGTTTATTGATTAAAAAAAGTTTAATTGTTTTGTTTTCAAATGTCTTTAATTTTATTTATAATAATTATTTATAAAACTATTTATTAAAATTCATATAAATTGCTATTATTTAAATTACGATAATTATAATAGTATAATGGTTATTTATTAAACTAAGAAATTTCTAAGAATTAATATTTTACTTATTATAAATCTGTATTTTACTTTATAATTTAAGTTATTACAATATGATTTATTGAAATAATTTCCTAATATTTAATATTTCACTAATTATAATTTCATGATATACTAGTCCTTCAAAATTACTTTCAATATATATTATATATATATATAAATTATAAAATAAAATAAATATAAATTTTAAAGTCAGCTCTACTGGACTCAAATGTCACCTTTTCCTACCCTCACAAATATTTTACTGTATTTAGGATTTGGATTTATTTGGATGAGCCTTGTTTCGTATAAATGTGATTCAGACAAATGAGATAGGTATTTATTGTCAGACAAATCACTAAAAAAGCAAATATTTTGTAAAATACAATACTAATGTTGAAATAATAGTATATAATAGACTTATAGAGTAAGTTTTGGAGTTATAGGTATTTTACTTTATAACATTTTCTAAATATTTGGTAAAATAAAAACTATTGAATGTCAAAAAATTATATAAATTTACTAATTTAAAAAATTAACCTTATGTGACAAATTCAAATTGAAAAACAAACAATAAGATGTTTGTACTCAAACTTTAATTCACAAATTAGTTTCGCATTTCTTATTCAATACATATACAGTAATACAATACATATTATAACATAGTGTGTTTGAGAAGTATTATAAAAATATTAATAGTTTTTGAACAAGTAGTGAATGAGTTTATGAAAAAAGTTACAAATTTATACATGTATGGCATTAGTAGGTCATCAGGTTTTTGATGAATATAATACAGCAAAATCTCCATATAATATACAGTTAATTGTGGAAAAAGTGTACAAAACACTAATTGAATTACATCTTCAATGGAAAACATAATTTTTGACTCAAGAATAGCTGCTATTATTGACCTAAAAATAAATAATTGATTTAAAATTTGTGTGCAAATATGTATTTCTATGATTGTATATTTGATCAGTGACAGAATCGTGTATACAAATCTATTTATAAAAATGATTGAAATCTTTGCCAAATCAGTGAGAAAAAGGACCTTTACTTTTAACAAATGTTTGCTAATTGTCTGTAGATTTATGTTTGAGTGGAAAACAAACTCTTATAAAATATTGTCTATAGAAAAAAGTTTTTGTAAATAATAGTCACTTTAAAATACCATATATTTCAATGTTTTGTAGCATAAGTTGAACAAAAAGTGAGCAAAATATATGTATAAAAGTTGTGATGAATTTTCTTAGCTATAGTAAAAGGCTATGATTGGAGTTCGCCTTAAGGGTACGGGATATGAATGGCATTACATGTTATATTTGTAATGTGGGATATTCTGGGATCGAGATCTCAACTGCTCAGTTAATATAAGAGTTTATCTACGGAGCACCGGTATATCTATATTTATTACTGGACTTCACTTCCAAAGAACTGGTATGACTTCTCCCTCTCCTAACTTATCTCTAACCACCAAAAAACACGTCTTTCCCAATGATTTGTAATATTGTATGAAAAATATTTGGAGCTCTCAATGACTCCGATACTCGACCGACCGTTAACTCACTTTTGGGTGAAAAATATTGTGATAATAAAAATAATATAAGAAATAATTTTCGTTTGTTTTCAAGGAATATAAGTTTTTTATTTGTTGTTACTTTTGTTTCTCTACTTTATTGTAAAAATACTTAAAAAATTAAGTGATTTCTTAAGGAAAAGTTTTTATCGAAAAAATCCCTTTTAATTAGTTAATTATATTTATATAAAGTTGTATTGAAATGACTGGAAGTTTTTTAGTGATATTATAATCTACAAAAAATAAGTGCTTTCAATAAATTTTTATTTAAATGAGTATTATTGTGTGTCGCTAACAGTATGAAATATAAATATTAAAAATATTAAGTTTAATATGTTATCGAGAAATTGATTTCTATTTTATCTAATATTTATAGTTTTAATGTAAACTTTTTTCCACTCGAAAAAAGTTTTCTAAAACTGTTTACAAGTTTTATACTAAAAACACAAACTTTTTTCAGACCGAAAAATGTCTGAAAGCCTACTCAACGATGTCTTGGTGTTTGTGTTCATGTTTTTCGCTCGGATTATAGTCACCACATATACCTATGCGACACTTCCGGTGTACTACTTGTGGCAGAAGCCGTGGAAACGGCTGTCCGTCGCCGCCAACTGCGGCGGCAAACCCACCGATCCATCGGACCCGCACTCGGAGTGGACCCGCGAGGTAGCCATCCCTCAGCACCCGCTCATGAGCTGCCAAACGGTGAGCGAAGCCATCGACAAAGTCATGGAACTGTATCCGTCGGACAAGCCATCGATCGGCTACCGGGAGGTGTTGGCGGAGGAGGTGCAGGTGGACCGGGAGGGGCGACCCATCAAAATAGACGGCAAAGTGCTGCGAAAGTATCGTCTGAGTGACTATCGGTGGCTGACATTGGGTGAGGTCTCTCAGCGTATAGACCGCATCGCTAAGGGACTGATGCACTGCGGGTGCAAACGAGGGGATCGGGTGGCCATATATGCCGAGACCGGTGTCCAGTGGTTCCTCATGAGCGGCGGTATCGCCAAAGTGGGCGCTGTTTTGGTCACTCTCTTCCATACGCTTAACGATGAGGGGCTCATACATGCGCTCAATGAGACCGAAGTGTCGTTCCTGATCACCAGTTTTGAGTTGATTACCAGAGTGTCGGCGCTGTCCCCCAAACTGCCGGCCCTTCGCACTGTTGTCTATTTTGAAGGTAAGGCGTTGATGTGTTGTTAGACTTTTAAATGAGTGTTAATTGATATTTTGAATACAAAGGACCGAAAAAGGAGTTGAACTATAGTTTTAGAGATGGTATTAAAGTCTTATCGCTCACTGAATTGGAAATAAATGGTCAACAGTTTGGACACAAATATGAGATCAAATCACTAGATCCCGACGCCGAGTGCATGGTTTGTGTTTTCAATTGATGTTTAGATTTTACAATTAGTGAACCAACTGTTCATCCCTTTCCATAATTTGTAAATCTAATGAATTGATGTCATAATGAATGGCAGATAATGTATACTTCGGGCACCAGTGGTCTACCAAAGGGAGTGATCGGCACATCGCGTCAACTAAAGGAGGCGGCGATGGCAATGGGACAGGTGGTCAGGGATGTCATAATGGACGGACCCAACCACACGTACATCGCATACCTACCACAAGCCCACATACTGGAGGCCACTATAGAGGTGTTCCTATACTTAGGAGGCGTGCGGATAGGGTTTGCCACTCCATTCACGCTCAATGAGTCGGCCCCGGGTCTCGCGGAAGGCACCACCTGTGATATACAACTGCTGAGACCTACCATCATGACTACCGTTCCCTTGGTGTTAGACCGCATTCGTAAGGAAATGTACGCCAAACTTGCGGCTCGGACTCCAGTCTCGACCGATATTTTCAATTATTTAATCGATTATAAGTCACATTGGATTCAAAAAGGTATCAAAAATTTATTTATATAATTCTTATGAATTTTTAAACTTAAGAAGTTTTACCCCCTACACCCATATGACCCCTTTCCTCTATCTATGTAGGGTTTATTGAAATACCTTTTAACTTAGTTTTGCTATTTTTAATACAAATTGAATGCTTTGAATGTGTTTAATACTCCGAGTTCACTGACATTTATCTCAAGTAAAATCCCTTCACTTTTTGTTAGTTTTTAAAAAATAATTTTTATTTAACAGTATTAAATAAGAAATTTTCTTAATATAGCCTCACATTTCTCTATTGCCCTCCCATTCCTGTCTTCCCTCACTTTTACAATAGGACTTCCATTAAAAAACTATTTTTTACACATTTATACTTTTCTGTCAATCATTTGAATCACATTTTTCTCAATCATTGACCCAATTATAAAATAAATACAAAATATAAAACTCTCCCAAAAATACATCAACAAAATAAGTGTTAAAACCTTTTGTTAATAATTTGTAGTACAAATTTTGTACTGATGTTTTAATTAATAGCAAAAACCCTAAACCTTATACCGTAGTATTGTTTTGTATGTTTCATGAACCCATGCTATTATAAAATATATTTTCTATAACATTCAATATTAAACCCATATTTTATATTAAATTGTTTATAGGATATGAGACCCCAATAGTGAATCAATTAGTGTGCGGTAAAGTACGGCAGCAATTAGGCGGCAAATTGCAATATATGGTGGTCGGGTCGGCACCCCTTTCCCCACAACTCCAGTCGCTCATCAAATGTGCGGTCAATGTAACCCTATTACATGGATACGGAACTACGGAGACCTGTGGCGCCTGTATGTCTTTTTTATAGCTCATTAACGAAACTATTTTTAAAAACTGAATATAATATTAATATATTTATATTATTGCCATCGCATAGGCCTTTGTACGGATTTCAAAGACCTATCGTACGGCCGAGTGGGCGCACCCCTGAACGGCGTCAAAATAAAGCTGTTGGACTGGGAGGAGGGCGGGTATGCGGCCACCGATAAGCCGCACCCGAGAGGGGAGATCTGCGTCGGCGGCAAATTGATTACAAACGGATACTTCCGATTGGATTCACTGAATGAGCAGAGCTTTTACGTCGACTCACAGGGTTTGCGATGGTTTATGACCGGAGACATCGGCGAGATATACACCGACGGCACGGTTAGGATCATTGATCGCAAGAAAGATTTGATTAAATTATCAAACGGAGAGTTCGTGTCGTTGGGAAAAGTGAGTGCCTTTCCTCCCGTGCCTCTATTATAGCCTGTTATCTGTATTTTGTTGTGTTATGCCATGTTTGCAATACTTTTTACCGGTGCTACTTTTGTTTGAGTTTTATTTTTGTATGCAATATTTTATGAGTTTTAAGATTTTTAAGTTTTCTGTTTATCGATTTTTATATGTATGTATTATTAATACAACATAGGCTTATCGATTTTGCAATTTAATTGAGGTATATAATGCATTTATAATAAGCACTTATAGTTTCTATCATTTAAGTATTGTAATCAAAATAATTACTTATATACCGTAGATACTGTATTATTATTATTTATTGAAAAACCAAATTTATGTCTTAATGTAAAATTTAATGTCTATTTCAATAATCAATATTGAATTTTAGTTCATAAATAAGAGTTGAAGGTTAAAATTAATTATCACATTAAATTTAATATTACCCCTGATAAATTAATAGTCTTGAGACTCAAGATCATGGTTACGCCGGTGGGGTTGAGTTGCACTTGTATTATGAATATTTCTAATTATAATTGTAAATGTCAAAAATATGTTTATGAAGTGATTTACTATGAATTAAACAAAGTGTCTGTCCTTTCAGATCGAGTCGGCTCTCAAGAATGACCCCTACATTGACAACATCTGTGTTGTGGGCGACGCTATAGTCAACCATTTGGTGGCTTTAGTACAGCCCAACCCCAAAACGCTGACCACTCTATGCCGACAGTTGAATATCAGCGACAGTACACCACTGGCCGAGATCTGTGGGCACCCGGAGGTCGTCAAACACATTCATGACTCGCTTATAGAGACGGGTATAAAGGACAGGCATTTGCACAAAAAAGAGATACCGACGCTGATAACGGTGTGCCATCAGGAGTGGAGTCCAGATAATGGGTGTCTGACCGCTGCCATGAAGTTGAAGCGCATAGCGATTATGGATAGACATCGCAAAGACATCGACACTATGTTTAAGGCTATTAAATGCAATGAAAAGCAGCCCAGGGTCCATAGTATTTAAGTGTAATACATATTTCATTTTAATTATTCATTTTGTAATTCTATTATTTTTATTGTATATTAAAATTGCATTTTTTAAACAAAAGTTGTGTCAAATAAATTGTTCACTAATAACTCAACCGTTATAATATACCGGTATTTTCCCATTAAATATCTGATTAAAACTTGTAATTAAATAGTTTATTTTGTAGTAAGCATAAGTTTTGAAATAATTTTCAAGTAAGCATATTTACATAAATGAGCTCAGTTTTAGATTGTTCCTAGCTGTAAATTATTTCTACAAAAAAGATAGTTAAACATTTATAGCTAATTTTGTGAAATATATGGTTCAGTAATTAAAGTATTGATACAATTTTAATTTGAAAATTTTAGATTAGTTTTACACTAATTATATAAATACAATGAAAATATAAACCAAAATAATCCATTTATTTTATTCTATAGAATACCCTGTTACAATGGCATTTATTGCTTTGATAGTTTGAAATATTAATTTTCATCTTAATCTGCCAAAATTTTATTGGTTTTTTATTTGATTAGTCCCTTAATTAGTCTAAGGTTGTACTCAAATATCTCATATCATTAGATTGCAATCAATATTAAATATAAAAGTAATGATTTTGAGTGAATCATTAAGTTTGTTGACGTCAACCAATGCTAAGGGCGTATAAAGTAATTTCCATGTTCAGTTTTGTTACCAACTCATTGATATTTAATTATTATTGTAAAACTATGATAATTCTTCAAATATACATTATTCCCATCATTTGTATTATTTGTATTTAATATCTTTTATAGAAAAATTAAATTACTTATCAGTTTTTTCACAGAAAATATTTACATTTCTTACTTTAGATACCAATTGTGCATAACTTTTATCTATAAAAAAGAGATTATTTTTCTAATTCATTGAACTCATTAAGAATTTGTGGTAAAAATTATTTTTTTTATTTGTTTCAAATCAAGTGACAAAACTGATAAATATTATGTGGTTTATTATATAAATTGCGGGGAATTTATGGTGCATTATAAATATATTCAACACTATTATTGACTTTAAAAAAATATAATAAGGAAATGTCACTTATGGTTAGGTTTAGGTAGAAAACAATTGATTATTTTAACAAAATCATATTAATTTTAGGTGTAATATAATACTTTTTATTGTAAGATTTATTATGCGATAGTGCAATTGAAAGTGAAACATAATTAGCACTTAAATACAAATTAAATATTCAAAAACACAAGAGTTTACACATTTATTAATATAAATACGATAAAATGTGCACATTTTTTGACATTTCATTTATTATTTAATAACCGATATATTAGCCAACCAATCGTAAAGTGATTTAATAAACTTTTTGCCAATTATTTGATTTTGTTTTTGTTAAGGCGAGTAAATAAATTGAATTTACGTTATAAAAGCATAAAATATGTGCCAAAACCGACACATGTTTTATGAGTCAACAAAATATACATTTTAAACTGAATTTATATTTTAAATTTTAAATGATAGCAAAAGTTTAATGTTATTCATGCATAAAATATTGATTAAATATTTTTTTAAATTTTTTGGTTGACTTATATCTAACTTCTCATTCATACAATACTATTCAATACTTTTTATTATACAATCGTTTTTATCAAAACAATTGACTTTCACTTTTTGTTGTACCCTTTATGTGATATTATGATAATATGTTATGAGATATCCAGTTATGAGACAACATTTATTTTTATTGAATATTTTCGCCCATTCCTGTCATAAACTGTTTGATTGAAACCATATTTCATAAGAAAATTAATGAAAATAAACATAAACTAGAATTCAATTGACTTTTGTTATGTAGAAAATTGAGCATAAATTCTATGAGACAAATACGAGTGAAAACTTTGAACCATAAAATATCTTAGTAATTGATTTGTTTGTATTTCAATTGATAATTGTATTTATTAATATAATATAAGTGTAATTATAAATACTTCAAAATCAAACGATAACTTATCGGCAAAACTGAATAAAGTGTCATTCGATTGGAAACCGATGTCTAATCATATGAGAGAAGTCCTGTATAAGTGGTGAGAGCACTGGTAACCTAATTATAATCAAACTTTGTATTGAATGATAGTAATGAAAACATTTGCGAACTAAATGTTATAAATTGTATAAAATTTTCAATTATTATTATAATGTTACTTTAAAATATTCATATCATTTGCCTATAACAACATTGGATATAAGTTTTAAAAACTTTTGTTTTAAAAGTAAGTTAGAAACGGTGTTTAAAATATAAGTTAATAACTCAGGTGAGACAGACATTGGGTTATCCCACATATTATATATAAAATTAAACACTTAAACATATTGTATATAAAATTCAGCTTAAATAACGTATTAGTTATCATTGAATGGCTAAACCGGTTCTTCCCATTGCTATATTTCAATGTCCACACCTGTTATGCAATAATACAGTCAAACATATGATAAAAAAGAAATTTTGTTTTCCAAATAAAGTTGGTTAAGAAGTATGCAATAAGTTTTTTATCGTGATTTTTAAGTTAAAATATTTGTGGTCTGACTGTAGTCTCTCTCAAGACGCGCCCCTACTCTCACTTTCTCCCTGTGCTCATGAAAAGTGAAATTTTCAAAATTAATTTACTTTTTATAAGCTTTGAGTTGGTTTTGAATGTTTGTTATAGCAAATACGAGTGCTTTAATTGCAATGATATTTATTTTTTAAGTGCAATAGCTAAATTAATTTCTAATAAGTTTTATATTGCATATATTTACAGCAAATACTACTATATATTGAGTTTAAAAAGTTTATTTCGATATCTATTTTTGGTGACTTGATTTTTTGGTTAAAGTTTTCTATGATAAGAAAAAGTTATATAAGAATAATATTTATAATAGAAATTGTAATAAAATATAGCCAATACACAAACATTTTCAAAAGTATTTAATTAAAAACTTTATAAAAAGTAAGTTTTATGTGATTTCTAATTATATTCTATATGAGAATTAATTAATGTTTGAAAATAATAATAAAAACATATTTGTATGAAATGTCACCTATAGTTGAGTGCAAGGCGTCTCAATATAACACTAAATTCAATTGTATTTTATTTTTAAGGTTAAATTCAAAGCTACAAACGACTCAGTGATCAGAGATGCCATCGGAAAGCAAACTGGACTTCAGGGAACTCATACCGGATGTGAGACAAGCCATATGTGCCAAACATGAGGCCGACCCTCAACTGTACGACGAGGTGGACGTGGAAAGGGTGCGGACCGACGACTGGTCATCGCTTCGGTATATTAAGTGGAATCGCGGAGAAGTCGACAAATGTATCGCACAGTTGGACGCCTGCCTTCAGTGGCGCCGACAGTTTGGCGTTAATGTCCGCACGGAAGCAGATTTGCCGCACGAGTTCATCAAAGCCGGCGCTATTTTCCCGTACGGACACGACTCGGAGGGCCGGCAGTTGATATATATGCGCATAAAAGTGTACAAAAAGGTGCCCCAATTGGTCGAGTATTTGCGCCAATTCCTGGTCGGTGTCATCAATCGCGTGGACCAGGAGTCCAGTGCCACCGGCTATGCCCTGGTGTTTGACTTGACAGGTGTGGGCTTTTCAAACGCCGACATGGATTTCCTGCAATTCCTGATAAATGTACTCAAAAGCTACTTCCCATACGGACTCCGGTATGTCATTGT